GTATGTGTTATACTATAGCATCCGTAAATTAAAAGAATCAAATTTTCTCAAACCGTGTCCTCTTCCATTGCAAACACAAAGCATGAGTATAACTGCAGCATGTTATACTTATACGCCAACCCCGTACGAAGGACGGGTATTCTGCTAGTGTTTTGATATTATTGAAATATTTATAACCATTGCAAACAAGCTCATACTATAAAAACTTGTTTTAAATTGTAATTAATTATCAAATTTGCACCACTAGAGACAAACCACGGTGCAGAAGTGTGAGTTATATCCGACAGGAGCGCTCGGGTCATGACTACACTGCTGCCTGGCGGAACTGATCACAACCTCCACACATCATGGGATTTACAGTACAGACCAACTTGTCCAAGATTCGCCGCACTAACTCTTCTTTTATCTTCTACGTTAGACGCCGACCGAGCTGTAATGGATGTTTTTCCTTCGTTTTCAGTCCAAGTAACTCAGTCTCTCATGACAACTGATTTATTACCTTTGGTCTTTGATTTTGATACATAGTACCTCAATGGACCTCAATGTCCGTATGAATTTATGTTTTTACTTTCCTAGTTTGAAAATATTTCTATTATTCAAGGATATGTAACATCCTTGTGTAAAATACCCCCGCCACAGCAAACCTACGAACTAAGCAAATTTCAATTTGTCTGAATTAATTTTTATTTAATCTATTTATAAAACATTAGGTTTAATGAGTACTTAGGTTTGCTGCTGCAAGAAAACTAATTAAGTGTATTTTTAGTAAACTATTAATAGCTTAGTATAAAATAAATCAATTTGCCACGAAAAACTTGGGGCGCATGCTAATTTACAATTATTTTCTTCTATTAAACTATTATTATCTTTTGCATGCGCCCCACGTTTTTAGCGAATTTCCCATAAAGGGAATAATAAGCCATTACCGTAGGTCTCGTGGTAAGACCTAGACCCGGGACCGATTTCTTTTTCGTTTTGAGGTCCCCAGAGGCCAAAAACACATACCGTTCAAATTCATATGTACATGTGTGTTTCCGTTAGCTCGATAACTCGAGCAAAAATTATCCGATTTTGATGAAATTTGGTAAAAACGTGTAAACATACGTTTATTCGAACGAGTTCGCGAACCAGCATGATCAATCTTTGGGAACAGGTGTTTAAAGGGGTTTTAAGGGGTAAACATTAGTTTTCAGATTTTTTTATTTTAAAAACATAAAATTTTAAAATTCCTTTTTGGGCCATTTTATAGAGCTTAAAAATTAATAATTTTGTATACTGAAGCGTTGTTGTATGCCTAACGGTTACGGAGGTAATAAAAGAAATAAATTCACATGTTATTCTTATGTAGAATAAATAAACTGTTGTAGTTTGCTCGTTTATCGATACATTTTGATAAAATTTGGCAATTTTGTTTATTTCATACTAAGCTATCAGTATTTAAATAAAAAAAAACACACCTCAATGCCTCCCCTGTAGCAGCAAACATAGGTACTCGTTACAATCCAGTCAGGTAAATGGAAATGCGCTTAGTCTGCAGGTTAGCTGGGGCGAGAGGCGAGAGTATTTGTTTTAAATCTTACATGTATTTATTCTCTCCATATATTTATAATTTAGTTCCTACTTTTTAGTGCGTTTAAGAACGTGGTACTTTTAAAAAGTATTTTTATTTATAAATTATTTTCTACTTTTTAGTCTTCAATGTGTAAATTTAAATCTACTAATGGCTTATAGGGACATAAGTCCCTAAAAAACGCAAATGTAAAACAACCAATTGCTCAAATGTATTGCAATTCTGGTATTTAAACAAGAGTAACATAATTGAGCGAAGCTCACTTTCCCTCACTTTGTAACTTCTTTGTAAGAGCATCAGAATGTAATGGCTTGACCAATTGATATGAAATTTGGCCAACAGCTAAAGAATACTGAGCACAATGTTTATGATAAAAATATTTGCAAATTTCCTTCTGGATTTTATTTTAAGGGTCACGCAATTTCACTTGTTATTTTAATGTAAGTTGAAAGAAAAATTATATTGGGTTTATGACATATGGGTTTATCTCGTTTCATTTAAATAAGATAAACATATGTTAATTGTTTGAAACTGTTTTGTTTACATTTCAATGTTTACTTTCATCCTTGGTTAAAGTTGGAATGTAACAGTTTATCAATGGAAGTAACAGTGTTGCTATATTTGTTTTGAACATACCTCAAAGGCCACGTCATAATATTGGTCGTCGCACCAATAATGAAAATATTGTAAGAGAGTGGCGTCGTGAACAAGAAGAACTAGACGAAGCAGTGGCGGAAGAAGCTGATAATGATAGGCAGTTAGCTAATCAATTCCAACACGAATTAGATGCACTAAAATCTTACTCTTGCACTAACTGTCATCGCCAACAAAACAACAGCTTCAAACCAATCACCGATTTGTTCGCGTTGTCGTTTAAATGCAACTAAATTCACGGCGTTAAATAATATGGATGTGTCAAGTGTCCCGAACGAATTCTGACCTGACGATGGTAGAACAAATGTTGATTGCACGAGTACATCCTGCTATGCGCATTTACAAAGTTACAAGCAAATGGTCAGGATGGCCAGTTTCACTACAAAGGTAACATCGTTAATTTTTAGCAAGATATTAATGAAATAGCATCTGTCTTGCCTACATTGCCGCTTCGCTCATTTATGCGTCTAAGTGTAACGGCAGACCACCCTAGTTTATGTGTCAGGATAGGTATCCCTATGCCCTATGTACACCAGATCTTTTGTGTAAAAAACTGTTTGTTGTCAGTCTTTTTTTGCTTTATTTGTTGATGTAATTTTCAATAAATAATTTGAATCACACCAGAGGTTTAACATGAAACGGCAGCAAACATATCATTGTTTGTGAATAAATATTGTTTAAAAGGTAGCTTTGGTCTTGTGGTTAATGAGGAAAAATAAAATCTCCCCTGATTTTGTTTTATTACTCTGAGATACAAGCCACTAGTTTTCTATAATTCACCATCACAAAACGTTGTTAAGTTGCATTGTATTGCCGAGCCAACAAACAAAATAGTTTCAGTGATTTGTTTTAGAATTTACATTTTAATTTACTTATTGTCTAATCTACTCAGTACTTATACACTTGCTTCAGATTTTTATTAGTGTTAGCGAATTTCCCTATAGGGAAGTAGCTACTACCGTAGGTGGCACGGTAACACTTAGACCCAGGACCGATATAATTTTTCATTTTGATGTCACTAAAAATGATCTGATTTAGATTAAATTTGGCCTCAGGATGTAGGATGGGATAAACTTGAATGAGTTCGCGAACTAACACGATCAGAACATGGGAACGGGTTTTAATGGGAGGTTCTACGGTGTAAAAATTGGTTTTTCTAATTTTGACCCTCAAACATAAAATTCTCCAATTTCTTGTCAAACCAATTTAAAGAGCATAAAAAACAAATAATTTGGTATGGTGACGTGTTTTTTTTCGGTTGTTGATTTTTTAGATGATAAAAAATATATATAATAAAATTTGATTGAATATTTAATCAGGCAATTGGAAATTCGCTTAGTCTGGGTACACAAAGATCTTCTTTTATAAACAACCTTAAATTTGTACAAAGTGGCATTCAAATAAAATTTCTATCTACCAAACCCATATTACGTTTAAATAAGCTTATCATTAGCTAAACAATGGATATAAAATACCTTACTTTTCTTCCCTTATCATGGGAATTTAAAGGGGCAATAGGGCAGAGCCTTTTATTGCAATCAGTCAATACCATCTGTAATACCACAGCTTTAAATTAGTAGTTACCGTCGGCTAAGGGTGTTGTGTATCACTAGGGAATTTCAAGATATAATAATCATACCAACGGTAATCCTACTTAGTTCTAGCGGGGTGAAGTCTTGATGGTGGATCTAGCTGAAACCCACAACATAATCTACAAACCTTACAAACCTACAAACATAATCAACAATACCTACAAGATCTTCTAAAAATATATCAAAATTTTTTAATCAAGATTAAAATGCATATGCCACAAAAGTATTCTACAAAATAATGTTTTATACTTACCTAAAAGCGACTAATGTACAAACCATCGTCCTTTTTTACTCAGTTAAACTAGTTTTTACTTTCCTGCACCTGATTTACTTTGCCTCACTCCATATTATATTTTCAGTCTACTTTTAGTGTACCTAGTTTACAATGTTCCGACACATAGTTTTTGGCTTATCACATTACAATTTATGTGATTGCTATTTGTATAGATTATTTGTCAGTCCGACACATCCTATTACAAAATCTATTATTGACAGCATGATTTCTTTAACTACGATATAATATTATTATCAGCGTTTTTTCACTCGAAATCTGTAGTTGTAACTACATTAATCGTCCAGTGCTGCCTTCTAGCGGTAAACAAAGGGGGTAGTGGTGTCGGTATCGCAGTTTACTGCCTCAACTGGCCACTCAGTGCTAGCAAAGAAAATATTTTCTTTGGTGCTAGCGACAATTCTCCCAACTACCAGGTATGGTATCATACCGGTGCTGCAGACACAAACCCAACTACATTACATTACATGGGGGTGGTGATATTGTCGGTAGTGCAGCATGCTCCCCATTGCTAGATATTGATACCGTGCAGTGCTGACTCTAGCGGCCACCCTCACAACTGCAAGGGGGTGATATTGTCGGTAGTGCAGCATGCTCCCCATTGCTAGATATTGATACCGTGCAGTGCTGACTCTAGCGGCCACCCTCACAACTGCAAGGGGGTGATATTGTCGGTAGTGCAGCATGCTCCCCATTGCTAGATATTGATACCGTGCAGTGCTGACTCTAGCGGCCACCCTCACAACTGCAAGGGGGTGATATTGTCGGTAGTGCAGCATGCTCCCCATAGCTAGATAGTGATACCGTGCAGTGCTGACTCTAGCGGCCACCCTCACAACTACAAGGGGGTGTGCCGGGGTCTTTTAGCTACAACTCAGTGGTCTAGGCTCATCTGAGCTCAGTGGCCGGTCGTGCATGTCTCTTTATCTGTAGCCCCTTACATAAATTTTATTAAATGAATATAGTCCTAATTTACCCGTAGAGAAATCGGTTAACTTATCAAGCGGTTCCACTATTTTAATTGTGAAATCTACCCTCCCGTCTGTGGCGAGTGGGGCCTGTTTCGTCTTAGATCCGAATATCTCCGACCCTTCAATCCTGGGTAAGTTTGATTAATCCATTTACATTCAGGATGTAAAATTGATATGTCATCTTTTAGTGGTACTGTATCAATACTTAGTTGTGAATTTATATGGGAGAGCTGGGCAAGACTTGAAATACCGTAAGACTTCTGGGAAGTAACTTGATGGATTTGATGTAATCCTCATGAGGTGCACTGGAGCATCGTAGTATAGTAACTAAGTTCGTACTACACTCCCAGCCACCTAGCAGGGCAGCTGACTACGTTACCTTTGTCAACAGCCTTCACACCCAGGAGTAACAACCAAGATAACCCACACTTGCTGGGAGCTGGACCAGTTCAATACATTTACCTCTAACCCTAACTCCAACTACATCTGTCATTAAAATATTATACTACACAGCTAGAAACTAGGTAGCTATGTTAAACACTATGTTCTATCATAATTGTATAGTAAATTCAGTGCAAGTAGTAGCCATATTATTTTCACTTTATACTTATACTGTTGTCGAATTCAATTTATACAGTATGAATACAATGTGTACTGTTGTCAAATCTACTTTAAATAATTAATAACAATAATACTGTAGTAAGAACTGGGCCTGTTATTTTTAGTTTTAAAATAAAAGTATCAGCATAGTTTGTAATGTTTTAATATTATTTTTGTAATGTATATTTACCAGCCAGTATTAATTTAGTGCTTAAAAAATACAGAAAACCAACTTTGTCTTATAAGGAGGTTTTTACGTTATTGTATTGTTATTTTAATAGTAGTTAATAAAGGTTTGAACAAAGTCAATACCGTTTGCTGATAACACTGTGTGATGATTTATTAATAATTTACCTTGCTTAGTTGTCAAAATAATCATTGATTTAATTGAACTACGAATATTACTAAAGTGGTTGAATCTCTAAAACTGATATTGTGTTCAATAATGAACAAATTTATTTGCATCCACTGAATCGTTCGGATACAAAGCTTTACTGTTGATGATATATTTCAATTGATAGACCAACATAAAGCGGCGTTGTGCAGAGGCCAACCCTCTCTCAAGATACATTCCTCGAGAGTTTCTCATGACTTTATTTTCTGTTCGATTGATGACCAGGGTAAAATTAGTTTTTCAATTTTTGCTTAAGAGGAGTAACAAAAAGAGTATGATCGAAACAGCTAACAATTAATAATCTTCATGCTAAATTGTCAGAAAATCTACCATAACGTTTAATATCAAGCTCAAGCATATAATTCAAGATTACATATAAAATTCCTTTAAAATAATTTTTCATTTAAAGATCATCACGAGTAGGCCTACAACAGAAATTGTTATTATTATATCAAACATGATTTTACAATGGTCGATAAATGTTCTAAAAGTAACTTACAACAAATACAACAGGTGCTCCTCCGTACTGCGACGTTGCATAGTTGAACATGTCAATGCGCCGTTAGTTCCTCAAGGGTAAATAATATACTCTAGAACAAAATTACCAATGGAAATTTAAACAACTATTGGTGATTGTTTTTCCTAAATTAAAAGGTGGCATCAATGCTACACCTTTTGCTGAAATCAAGGATCCCAACAAAAATATTACACCAGAAGGTGTTTTACTATTTTGTATTGATTCAATATAATTGGTGTTCCGGTGTTTAAAACTTTTCATTTCGGTAAACCTATGGTTAATTACACATCTACACCACAACTAACTGTTGCGCACGTTAACTAAACTGTTTACTTTGATACCTTTATTGGAACGTGTATAGTATAGTAAATATCTACGATGATGCTACCACGCGTATCACATTGTATTAATATAGTACAAACAATATTTTCCAAACTATAATATTCGGAATTATAAAAATGTGTTATCCTATACTATCCAAATAAAAAAAAAACCTAATAATAAACAGTTACATTATGACAAAATGCATATATTAAGGAATGTTTAAATATATCACTTGTTGTAATTTAAATACAGATCAAATTAAGTAAAACTGTGATACAAATAAACAGTGATATCACTAATGCGAAAGAATTAAAGTCAAACTTGTTTAAATAACTTATGATTCTCCAAGTAATTATTCATTCGCGAGTTTAAAACAATGGGCTTGTCTGAGGTAGTTTTCACGATCTTATCTAAGCTAATGACTTTGGTTTGCAAATATTAGTGCAATTCTACGAACTTTTTCTTGATGTAAACAAATAACGGGTTTTTAGATGTGTCGAACGAGTATTATAAATTAAATATTTGTTGAGCGATTTAATTACTTAATGTTGATTTTGTTACATCATTAATATAAATATATTTAAATAACTAGCAGCGTACCCGTCCTTCGTACGGGGTTGGCATATAAGTATAAAATGTTTATTGCAGTTATGCTCATAAGCTTTCTGTTTGCAATGGGGAAGGACACAGTTTGATAACATTTGCTTCTCTAAATTTAAGGTATACTATAGTATTACACTTCTACCATAGCCATAATGTTCTACCACTAAAAATAAACTATTAAAAATTCGCAAAATATCACAAAATATTCATGACATTAAAAACATAAACATAGCTGTAATCAATACTTGTTTGACAGTTCTCATTGCGTATCACAGTGTTTTTGTTCCTGCTTAGTTCAAATTATATTAGCTGTTTTCATAAATAAAAAAAAATAGTGCTGCACCCTGCTGGTAAATCTTTTAACTTTTAATGCTTTTTAATATATGAGAAAAAATCTTTTTATTTGAAACATCTGACTAAATTCTTTTATTCCTTTATATGAATAAAATATGAATACTCATTAGGTTAACATGGGAAACTACAGAGCCACTGGGGCGGAGCCCGAAAGGAGTTTTGAGTAAAGAATATGCCTATATGTTAATCGGGAATGTAAGCCATCATTATGCAAAATGTTAGCCCAATCCGTCCAGTAGTTAATGCGTGATTGAACTTCAAACATACAAATAAATAAACAGACAAACAAACACACAAACTTTCACATTTTTAATATTAGTAAGATTAAACTAATGTTCAATTACTAAAACAAATAGTACTGTATAGCTTCTGGTCGAGGGGGTCCTCAGCTTCATAAAAAGTTCTTGTTGCTTAGAAGTAATTACTTATTTCATTTATAGATAAATGTGCTATAGCTTATGGTGTTCTTCAATACCCACTGGGATACGAAATAACAATACAGTTAAAAGTTGTGGTGTTTAGTAGGATTTAAACCTGGGCCCCGCGATACAACCACTAGGCTATAGACCTGGGCCCCATGCTACAACCACTAGGCTATAGACCTGGGCCCCGCGCTACAACCACTAGGCTCTAGACCTCGGCCCCGCGCTACAACCACTAGGCTCTAGACCTGGGCCCACGCTACAACCACTAGGCTCTAGACCTGGGCCCCGCGCTACAACCACTAGGCTCTAGACCTGGGCCCCATGCTACAACCACTAGGCTATAGACCTGGGCCCCGCGCTACAACCACTAGGCTCTAGACCTGGGCCCACGCTACAACCACTAGGCTCTAGACCTGGGCCCCGCGCTACAACCACTAGGCTCTAGATCTGGGCCCCATGCTACAACCACTAGGCTATAGACCTGGGCCCCGCGCTACAACCACTAGGCTCTAGACCTGGGCCCCGCGCTACAACCACTAGGCTCTAGACCTGGGCCCCGCACTACAACCACTAGGCTATAGACCTGGGCCCCGCGTTACAACCACTAGGCTCTAGACCTGGGCCCACGCTACAACCACTAGGCTCTAGACCTGGGCCCCGCGCTACAACCACTAGGCTCTAGACCTGGGCCCCATGCTACAACCACTAGGCTATAGACCTGGGCCCCGCGCTACAACCACTAGGCTCTAGACCTGGGCCCCGCGCTACAACCACTAGGCTCTAGACCTGGGCCCCGCACTACAACCACTAGGCTATAGACCTGGGCCCCGCGCTACAACCACTAGGCTCTAGACCTGGGCCCACGCTACAACCACTAGGCTCTAGACCTGGGCCCCGCGCTACAACCACTAGGCTCTAGACCTGGGCCCCATGCTACAACCACTAGGCTATATACCTGGGCCCCGCGCTACAACCACTAGGCTCTAGACCTGGGCCCCGCGCTACAACCACTAGGCTCTAGACCTGGGCCCCGCACTACAACCACTAGGCTATAGACCTGGGCCCCGCGCTACAACCACTAGGCTCTAGACCTGGGCCCACGCTACAACCACTAGGCTCTAGACCTGGGCCCCGCGCTACAACCACTAGGCTCTAGACCTGGGCCCCATGCTACAACCACTAGGCTATAGACCTGGGCCCCGCGCTACAACCACTAGGCTCTAGACCTGGGCCCCGCGCTACAACCACTAGGCTCTAGACCTGGGCCCCGCACTACAACCACTAGGCTATAGACCTGGGCCCCGCGCTACAACCACTAGGCTCTAGACCTGGGCCCACGCTACAACCACTAGGCTCTAGACCTGGGCCCCGCGCTACAACCACTAGGCTCTAGACCTGGGCCCCATGCTACAACCACTAGGCTATAGACCTGGGCCCCGCGCTACAACCACTAGGCTCTAGACCTGGGCCCCATGCTACAACCACTAGGCTCTAGACCTGGGCCCCGCGCTACAACCACTAGGCTATAGACCTGGGCCCCGCGCTACAACCACTAGGCTATAGACCTGGGCCCCATGCTACAACCACTAGATTATAGACCTGGGCCCCACGCTACAACCACTAGGCTCTAGACCTGGGCCCCATGCTACAACCACTAGGCTCTAGACCTGGGCCCCGCGCTACAACCACTAGGCTCTAGACCTGGGCCCCGCGCTACAACCACTAGGCTATAGACCTGGGCCCCATGCTACAACCACTAGGCTCTAGACCTGGGCCCCATGCTACAACCACTAGGCTCTAGACCTGGGCCCCATGCTACAACCACTAGGCTCTAGACCTGGGCCCCGCGCTACAACCACTAGGCTCTAGACCTGGGCCCCACGCTACAACCACTAGGCTCTAGACCTGGGCCCC